GCGATTGGGTTGTTTTGAACCAGCATTTGGGTTACTATCCAGTAGGTTGGGTTAAACATTTAACCCAACTGCTGGGTCAAAACAGCCCAATTGCTGGGTTTGTCCTTATTTTACCCAGCACTGGGATGTATTTAACCCAGCATTTTTTAGAGTGTAGTCTTTAAAGGTGTCAGATTCAGATTCCATCCTAAGCTCCTGCAGCCAGAACAATGTACCTATATTAGTGAAACAAGCACCCCCATAACATTCACAAATGCAGCATCTGTGCCATTACACAATACTATATAGTTCTGAAAAGAGGGTGACAGTTACAATAACAGCTTTTTTGAAGTTTCTAATATAGGCTACAGTTCCTTGAATGATCATTTTGAAATGATCAATGTTCATTGACCATCTTATATATTATATTACACAAAACATGCAAAACTTTTTACAGCAATCTCTGATTTGATTGGCTTTACACAATATCTGACTCAGTAAGCACAGTTCTACAGGCCAGAAGTCATGTTTAAAGGTACAGGGTTGCACTGGAAAGTTTGTGCCATCACAATCATAATCAAAAGTTTGGCCCTGCGAACCAATTACATATAGTTATTTAACAGTATTTATAACAAAATAAATTGAATGAATCACATTAAAAACGTCACCTGTTTATATACTATGTGTATTTTCAGGCTCCACTTTCTTGGGTGATGCTCGTGACCCGTCCAGCCCTGGCTCACCCTCTGCCTCGCCCCTTTCACCCTCAGGCCTGTGCAATGGAAGTCCAGAGCCCAGTCTCAATGAACGTGGCTGTTCTGCTGCCTTCTGCAGCTCCACTGAAGGTCTGCATGTCTTTTCATACATATATTGCATTTTAGGATTTCCTGGAAAAACAAATATGCACATTTTTTATTTTAAGTAGCATTTGTCATTTATAAGCATGAAGTTAAGATAATTTAATTTTTTTATGATAAAGATGGCACTGTATTTTATTCTTTTTCTCACACAAAGCTTTCTTATGGCCTAGAAGACTTGGATTATTTTGGACCATTTTTATGGCACTGCTACATCCTTTGTTGTCTTGAAAGCCTTATGGGATCTACTTGCTTGGAGTAACTGCTATAGTTATAAATTAATAAATGGTAATCAATTTTTTTCTGTCATTCTGTCACAGGAACAACACCCAACTCACCCGTCAGTCTCCCTAAATCCCCCACTTTCCCATCTGCCTCAGGCTCATGGCCGGATGAGTGTTCTATCTGCTATGAAAACACAGTGGACACCGTCATCTATGCCTGCGGACACATGTGTCTCTGCTACACCTGCGGTCTCCGCCTCAAAAAAATGGCCAACGCTAGCTGTCCTATCTGTAGGAGAGCTATCAAAGACATTATTAAGACCTACCGGAGCACTTAGGGGGGGGGGGTCTCATAAGGGTCATTAAGGATCTTTAATAGATCTCTGTTTCAAGAGAGGGTTGGTGTCACAGTTCAGTGACTTGCTCTGGCACTGCATGGGTCTCTGTTGCCATGGCAATGACTTTTTAACCCCTTGAACCTTCAAGGCTCAGGCATCCATTCACAAAGGTCTTTGGTATTTCATGCTCAAGTCTCTGTTGCTATGGTAACCAGTGATGTTGCTGCTTTTTTGAAGCATCTGGCTTTTCAACTGACATAACACAAAAATCATAGACAGTATCTCATCGAATTCAGGACATTTCAGGTGACACAGGAGATAATCAAGGTTGCACATGTCCCATTTCTTCTACCTTCTCTGTGAGCCATACTAGACTGCATAATAGACCAGCGGTGGCGAACTCCGGTCCTGGAGAGCCGCAGCCCTGCAGAGTTCAGCTCCAACCCTAATTAAAACTCACCTGCCTGTAGCTTCCTAGTAACCATTCAGATCTTGATTAGCTTGTTCAGGTGTGTTTGATTAGGGTTGAAGCAAAACTCTGCAAGGCTGCGGCTCTCCAGGACCGACGTTCGCCACCCCTGTAATAGACTCTCATTCATAGCATAGCTGCATATCTTTTTAAAGCTGGATTCATATTCAATACGGGGTGTTACAGTCTGTTATTTTTTCCTTCTGCTGTCCTCTCTAGTCAAATCAACTAAAGCACTTTCACCATTGAAATTCATACAAAAGTGTTTCAGTGTTTCACAATTTTTGTCTGTGCTGGGCTGAGACGGAGACAGAAATACAGATAATAAGGAACAGTGCTTTTCATACATCACTATTTCATGCTAGTTGTGTAACTGACAGCTTGCCTTTATTACATGCTCTAAAGTGAGTTGATATGGAGGTCTTTGTGCATTGATGACTATTTGATCATGTGTTTCGTAATGTAATATGAAGCTTTGGTAGGTAGCAGGTGAAGTCAGCTAATGGTCCGCTATAATTTCGCTTATGCGTGCGTTCTACAAGCAGGACATTGTGGTGTAATTAAAGAGATAACATTTGTTATAAAAATACACAGGAATGATTAACCAACGAGTCATGTGGCAGATATACATATATACAGTTATATAACAACTCATTTAAAGAACATTAATATTGAATATCTTAATTGATCCAACGGTGCTGGGAAATGTAATCGCCACAGAGAAGTGCGGTTAAATAGAACATCTCATCTCACGACCCTAAAACATGTTGGCCTAATCAAACCTTGATTTACTGTGAACTTGTTCTTGACTGTCGAGCGGAACACGCACACTCTGGGTTTTTTTGTGAAAGCAATTGCAATGTTGCCATGGAGAGCAAAATCTAGGAAGAAGGAAAACAGCCTTGAGGCATTAACCAATGAAAGAATCATTTGTGCTGAGAGGATATTTGATGTGCCCATTTAATCCATATTTCTCCCAGCACCCCACCGCTGACAGTCTCTGTAGGCCAAAAATGGTGTGTATGGGGATAATAGTGAGTGCAGGCCACTGATGAAATAGCAAATTGGAATGGAATATGTTTGGAAAAAAGGCTGGCTCAGTGTTCCTGCTGGTGTGGAGAAAAAAAAAAGCTGGGTCAAAAAGATTATCAATTTCTTTTTGACTCACCCCCAAAGCCAAAATCATATTAAAGGGGTCATGAACTGTCTTTTTTTATTATTATTTTGTACTGTTTCAAGATTTTTACATAAAAAAAACATAATATTTTAGCAGTAATAGGCTACTTTCTGTCCAGTTTTGACCCCCCTCATCGGAACGCTCTGTTTGAATAGGCGTGGCGGATTGTAGACTCAGAAGTAAACGCCCACTACTATGATTGGCTAACAGTTGTGTATGTTTGACAGCTACATCCTTCATAGATGGACGCTACTGTGATTTAGGTAAAAAACACATAAATACTCAGTTCATATCAAACGATCTGTAATAACAGACAAAGCAATAGTGATCACGTAATAAAAACACTTACTCACACTTGTGTGGTGCAACATTATGTTGGATCCAATATAGTCGCACAGCATCGTCTTTTAGTTTCAATCTTTCAGCAAGTCCGGCATCGAATTGTGCCTTGTTTGTAAACGAATCCGCGGTGAAATGAAGTGAGCAAACGACCAACCTTTTACTGACGCTGTCTGGAACTTCATTAAAAATAAAGCTAATATACTCTTTCCTAATGTTGGGATCCGATGGAAGGTTATGCAAAGACTGTGTTTGTCCACAATTTGGCACTGCACAGCGTCTTGTTGTCTTCGGAGCCATCTTTATCGTTTGGTTTCTGTGTAGACCTGCGTTTGTCTCTCTCGTTTACACTATGTGTGCGAATCAGTGGGCGGAGCTAAACAGGCAGTGATGTGGAAGCAGGCGTTGATCTTCTTCTGTGGAGGCGGGGTTTACCCGCTTTATTATGTCATAGAGCAGCACATTCCTCAAGCTGTCGTTTTTGGCAGATTGGCTTCAATATAAGCTGTTTTTAGACTAATGAGAAAGTTTTGAGTTCTGAAACTTACAAGATGGTTTTATAGTACGATGACCTCTTATATGTCAAAAGATCAAGGGTATTTTGATTTCTCAGTTCATGACCCCTTTAAAAGTAGCATTTGACAGCAGAGGTCTCTTTTGGATCTTTACAAACTGTGTCCAAACAGCTTCTCAGGGTTATTTATTAAGGACAATTAAGGTATAGAAAATCCTGTTGCTGTAAAACATAGTTGATTGGATGTTCTAGGAGACAGGACCATTGAGAGGTGAACTACATCCCTTTTCTCACTGAGAGATTGATGAAGTTAATACAGTTTTATATTGTAAAGGTGAAATGCTTAGATGAATGTCACAAAGCCTGCCAAGAATATGTCTGTCATATTTCACCTCAAAAAGGAAAAAAGAAATTGCATTTTGTTTTCAAGACAATTAAATATTTAATATTTGCATTGACATTATTCATGACAATTAAGCAAATATTCCCTCTAAATAAAAAGAAATGTCCATTGAGGTGTGTAGTCTGCATACTGAAAAATAATAATAATAATAATGGTATATAGTCAAAATTGTATTTAGAGTAGTATGTATAGTACCTTTAATTTAAGCTGATTTAAATAAAAAATAATAATATTCAGGTCAGCGGACAGCAGGAGCAGGTTTGATTTTTGGTTCTAGATCCCCTACAAACGTCACTTCAATATCCCACACAATCTATGATCCACATCAACAGCTGGAAAAGTCTCAGTTTTATAAAAACCCAGATCATATTTTACAATTTATGGGAAATAAGCAAAAGAGGACATGATTATGTGCATTTGTGTGTGCGTGTGGATGTTAAAACGGCTCAAGAGCAATTTCAGTGAACTACAATGGACTGCAGGCTAATATTGTTCATAATTAGCAAGTTAGCTTGTGTAAAGCAATCGTGATGACTGGCGCTTAAATTCATGCTGCTATTAGTATTAGCCAGCTCTCCTTCAGGCCATGCTAACACCATGTTGAGAAAATGTCCTGTCACTCTTGACAGGAAATTCAGTTCAGAGTTTTACTCTATTGTTTGGAGTGGTGATTCACTTTTGAATGTTAATTTATGTTCATTAGAGGAACCTATTAGAATAGCTGTATCTGAGGTGTTGCTATAGCTTTGTTTTTATTATTGTTTTTTCCCTCTTGTTTTAATTATTGGACCGAAAATTATGATTGTACAGTTTGCGTGTCAGTCCTCTGTGGTTTATACGGAAGTGTGTTTCTTTTAGTATTAGCCAGCTCTCCTTCAGGCAATGCTAACACCATGTTGAGAAAATGTCCTGTCACTCTTGACAGGAAATTCAGTTCAGAGTTTTACTCTATTGTTTGGAGTGGTGATTCACTTTTGAATGTTAATTTATGTTCATTAGAGGAACCTATTAGAATAGCTGTATCTGAGGTGTTGCTATAGCTTTGTTTTTATTATTGTTTTTTCCCTCTTGTTTTAATTATTGGACCGAAAATTATGATTGTACAGTTTGCGTGTCAGTCCTCTGTGGTTTATACGGAAGTGTGTTTCTTGAATTTTGTGCTGGTTTTCTTGTACCCAACATGCTGAACTGAGCAGTACACCCATCAGGGGCTTCACAGTAAACAATCAGAACCAGCTTTTGTTGGGAACAAGTTAAACGAAAGATTATGAACACTCCCTTTGATATCAGGTGTTTTATGATTGGCAACATATTTTGTTCTGAGGTGTCTATTTATGGTTGTTCTACCGAACTGAGCTTGCTAAAAGTTCATACAGTTCTGGAAATGTCCTGAAGGCCCAATATTTGTGTTTAGAGCTTTCATTAAGATTTTTGGAAGACAAATTGACCCAAGTTTTTCATGAAAAAACTCTTTGCACTTTTTCTGTAAATTTCAGTCACTCTAAAAGATCATCAATATTCCCCCGAATTTATTTTTCTTTCCACCCAGTTTTGTAATGTATGACTTTTGCACAGTTTAGGGTGTAATATAAGGGCAATCATTGTGTTTCTGTCCTTACCGACACGCCACAGTTGGAATCACTTTTGATTGTTGTCGACCCTGTAATGTACTTTATTTATGTACCGTGTGTAGAGTACGATGTGCGAATCGGATGTCATTTACCTTTCCTGTTTTGAATTATTTTTAATCAAAGCTCTAGATGTAATGAAAACAGCCATATTCGCACACTGGCCAATAATTTTGTTTGTTTCAGGAAAAAAATAAGTTTTGATGTTTTGTGAAGTAACCACAAATGGGATCAGGGATTGCATAAATTATCACCCCAACCTTAAATAATTTCAATTTCAATGTTGATAAAATCTGAATATTTTTTTAATGGTGGTGAAAACAGAAGCTTTTTTATCTTATTATATATACATGTTTCAAGAAATGATTGGAATTGCTTTTCTTTATTCTTGTAATTGTTGTTTCCAGTGTGTTTCCTTCACTCATTACCCATTGGTGAACAGCGGGACCAATCTAATATTGAATCAAAGAGGTATGATTCATCTTTCCCAGCTAGGGTTCATTCAAGGGCTGTTAATTGAATCATTGATTCATAGAGTCCATGAGGTCAGTAGTGATTTAGTCACAAGAAATGTCTCCGCTTATTGTGGCATTCAGTTTTTGACTAAAACCCATGTTCAGATTTGTTTTCTTCTTTAAGTCTGTGATCAGTTTATGAAGCTTTGTTATGTCTGTCAAATATGACTGTGCCAATAAACTTTGCAGATGTGTTACAGCAAGTGGTGTGTCTACTGTGCCCTCTTTTTTCAAATTTAAATATTTATGACATTTTTAATCAACTGTTCTTCAAGTGCATTTCATTTTACACCTCTATAACGCAATTCCCACAATTTAAAACAGTGAGAAATGCTTGAACTGGACCTCCTATAAAGTGATCACTAACTCGCTGCATCGGACCAAGAACCAATTCAAAATTAAGTCTGAAAATATACAGTATGAACCATGATGGCAACCTGACCCTGAACTAGAAAATAAATGTGGACGGTAACAGGAACACTTGATATGCCTGAGATCAGAGGTGTGCAGATGAAGGATGAAAGGTGTCTTTGATGCTGTGCTCTGGAGCTGAGAGGAGGATGAAGATCTCCCCTCATAGTTAGGGGTACATGTTTCTGAAACCAAGCAGAGAGACAACCCACTGTGAACACTATTTCCATCCAGATTTAGTCATTTGACATGTTGGTTCAAGCCTATTTAAGGCTGCCCTCTCATGGACAAAATTAATTTCTCGTGCTCTGTTTTTTTTTTTCTAATCAAATCTGTATCCCTCATGTGACGGTTACGACAGCGTTCACAAACAATTAGAAATGACTGAGTGACTTCATTCTTCACATATTACAACTCAACCTTAAAAGCTGCACAGACTATTGTGCTAGTCCTTCTGTTATGGCACTGCAGTCAGTTTTACTGACAGTCAGCGTACAGCTTTATCTCTAAAGCTTGTTGGTATTCATCTAACATTTGCACACTGGTTTTATCTTTTTACTTCTGGCAATTGTATTTAAGCTTCAGGGTTCATATTCATTTTTGAAGATTATCATAATGAACAAAACATCTAAGAATAATAAACTTTGCTTGGTGACAGAGCTTATTTCGGCATCAGTCCAAAAGCCAATTAAACCAGGATGATTCTAATTTCCGGGCTGGCCTAGTACATCACCACTGTAGCGCTCTATTGCACAATTTCATCCATCAATACATATATTCTATACATTTTTCCACTCATGTTGTTGTAGTCAACTGGGTACTATATGCATAAGTAGCCTATACAAATTTACTGCAGCAATAGTAGAGTTATGTTAGCATGCTAGCCGAGCATTAACCTAGAGACAGTAATATCCTATGCTACACCGTTGTCACATTAGCTCATGACATATATGAGTGGTGTCTATAGTTATCATCTTGAAATGAATATGGGTATTTAGTGTTTTTGATTAAGTTTTATCCAAACATCTTGGCAGTCCACTTATTAGGTCAAAACAAAGATACAGTCACTGTAACTACTTCCAGTTACTGGAAATGAAAAGCCAGGCGTTGTGGCACTGCATTGTGGGATATATTGCACTCCACAGTGTGTTATACACAGTTTTGCAAATGTCATTTGGTAATCCATGCCATGCAAACAGAAAATGTGCATGTTGTATAATGTATGCATACTGCAAAAATAGTAAGAGTAGTATGTTAGTATGCTGTTCCAAATACATGATGATTATGTATGTATTTATGTATTTATTTAGAACTAGCTATCATTGCTCCATCATGTTCAACTGAAAAAGACAAATGGCATGTTTGATTTAGAGACATGATCCCTAAATCCTTGACTCCCTAAATGTCTGACTCCTAAATCTCTGCATATCAACATGAAAGATGAATGTTCTTTGCTAAATGTAGACCAAAGCATGACAGTGAGATATAAGAACAAGGAGGATACATTTTATTGTGTTTTCCTTTAGGACATTGCAAGATACAATGTAAACATAAAAAGGTACAAAAACAAAACGTAAAGAAAAACCACAAAACAAAAATGCTGAAAATTAAAAGCTGAAGCTGTAGACCTTTAGATCTTTAAAAGAAATGCATTCAAAATGTAGATTTGGCTGAGCGCTGAATTATATCATTGCAAGGCCTTTTCTCAATATGTCCAAAAGCGCACTTTTTAATATTTCTTATGACAAGAGGGGTTTGCAAATATCTAGCCAAACATTCCTTACATCCAATGGTCTGTAACAGAAAAACATTGTGGCATATTAATGTAGGCATCTTCACTTCCTGTCTGAGAATTCAACTTTGCTTGAAAAATCACTTGAGTACATTGATTAAAAAGTATTTTTTTGAAATAATAATGAAGAGTTCAAAGACTGTCCAAGAATACATGCTATACATGTATAGCAGATTATATTTAGAAAATATCAATATATAAAACCCTTACAACCAGTCTGTTAAGTGGGTGCATGATGAAAGCAAACATAAATAAATGTAACTTTCAGAGTGACGCTCATCAAAACATTCTTTTAAGCAAGATGTTACTGGCCCCACATGCTGTATTTTCGTGACTGTTAATTAAGTGGAGAAGAATGGCAATTAGTGCAGACAGCCAAGCAGAGACAGGGACAGAAAACAGCAAGAGATCAGACCGCCGCAGCATGTTCCCTTTCTGCACTTGTTCGCATCAAAGTGAACACATAAACACACCCTACCGCCTCACACCAAACACTGATGCATCTGATCAAAAATGCAAATTAACACAGAAAAAGATAAATAAAACCTACCAAACTCCTTTCAAGCACTTCATACATCACAGCGAGCACACATACAACTCTCTCCACCATGATCCATGCCTAAAACAGGCCTACTTCCTTATTATCCAGGTAAGGTCGCATAAAATATTAGTCAGATTATTACTCATCAAATGTTTCTGTTGAAATATAATTAATCACAGGGTACTTCCTGCACCTTAAATATTATTATTATTATTTTTGTAGCTGAGCACAACCATAGATGTGCATAGGTAGATGCCACATTCGACCACTCCAGACAACGTCGACGCATCCACCATCTTGGAATGGTCAATGTGTTGTCACTCACAATAAAAAGAGTTTTCCAAGATTCCGCAACATTTTGCAGCCTCCGGTTGTAAAAACCACCAAAATGTAAATTCCTGAAGAAACTGGATAAGCTTTCACAGATACAAATGTGTTGGTTTGTGTTTTTAATATATGAACTCAATATTACAGGTTTCTAAACAATAGTAACTAGTCTTAAAGTGGCTAGTCTTATATTGTGTTAGTTTGGCAAAATCTTCTGCTGGAGTCATTTGCAGATATAGATATTCATGTATGCGTATAACTACGGTTGTAGACACTCAGGCAACTTGCTCTTGAGTGTTCACAGACCGCCTTTGACCATTCCAGTATGGCGAATGGCTTTCATATAGCGGCCCATAGAAACAGCTACAAATAGGGCATCTACCTATACCTATGAGCACAACTACAACATTTTATATTCATCCATGACTTTTCCAGGCTTGAAACTCACAATTTAAAAATTCCCTGATATATCCCAGGTATCCCAAGCCCTGTAAATGACATATGACACAATCAAACATGTACATTCTTTCAACTTTTGTTGTACACCAACACGGCATATAGACGCCTCAGTAAATCAAGCCATTCGCTGACGCAGGAAGCTCAGATGATTCCTCTTGATGACGTTAATACATCTCGATATGCTGTGAGCCATTAGAAACACTATCAATCTATCTCGGCATCTGATCCGAGCCCCCGGCAGCTCGACATCCACTATCAGTGTGACATTTGTATTCATGGTGCTCTTCCCAAGCATCTGTAATTAACCGAGCACTTGGGTAATGTGATTTCACAGCGCGAGTGTACTCCTGACACCGTGGTGGGTGAGCTGGAGACGAGCAGTCCTATTCTTTTACACATTCTGTCAGCAACTTTTTAATTGTTATAAAGAGGTTTGCAGCAGCGGCGAATTGAGGTGGATATCCGTTTGCAAGTTTCTGAACCTCAGCATGTGTACTCAAGCACTAAGACTTGATGTTTTGAGAAACAATGGCCTTTGGAGACAAGGCAAGCTTGCTTGAATTCAGTCGCAGCAAGTTTTCCAACAGAAATAACAAAGGTGTTTCTAGAACACTGCTCCTGACCAGTGCTATTATGACAATGCAGTGCCACTGTGACATCATAATGAGCTGCTGCTAGCGGGAAGCTTCTCTGAAGTGCTCATTATCGTAAAAAGCCTTGCTTTTCTTTCCACAGGGAACACTTCATCAAGTCCATTAGAGCGGTTTTATCATGTCTAGCTTTACCTGACTGGATTCCCTTCTATTTAAACATCATAAACAAACATTCCCTCTATCCACCTTCTCTTTCCACCATTTAAAAACTCCTGTTCACAAACCATCGCAGAATACACCAAACAAACAGGAAAAAATACACCCACAATCTTTTTTTTGTTAAGTAACATTCTTCTGTTCCGATTCAGGAGCTTAAGGGATGCTCCAGGTTCAATACTAAGTGTTGTATACTTTGAAAACCAATCTGACAACTAACTATATTAATTTCATTTTTACATTTTTGTATAATCTGTTTACACCCCATTGACGGTTACGTTTAAGGGTGGACCTTCATGCTTTTGTTCTCTAAAATTTGTACATTTCAGTATGAATCACGTTGTATGAATAATACATGGACCTTCAAATTCACAAAGGTGGACCTTCATGCTAAGATTTTTCTAAAAATTGTATGTTTCCGTGTGAATCACATGATACAAATTCTTGGATATTTGAATTCCTAATGATGGAGCTTCATGCTTACTTTATCCTGAAAATTCTAAGTTTCTATAAAAAAATCACATTGTTCGAATTCATGGTAACTTTTTCCTAAAAATCGTATGTTTCCATATGAATCAACCACACAAACATTGTACAAATTCATGGACCTTGGAATTCATGAAGGTGGACCTTCATGCTAACTTCTGAATTTATGTACTTTCAAATTCATGAAGAGGACCTTCATGCTAACTTTTTTTCTACAAATCATATGTTCCCATACGAATCACACTGTACAAATTTATTGACCTTTGAATTCATGAAGGTGGACCTTCGTGCTAACTGTTTTTCTTACTGTAAAATTGTATGTTTCGGTATGAATTGCATCATACAAATTCATGGATCTTTGAATTTATGTTTTTTTTTTTTTTTATAAAAAACATGTTTCTGCCCTAATGACATTCATACAAAATCACTATACCTCATAAAAATAGTTACATTTTCTCAAGAGATTGGGTTGGTTGAAATTATTTTCAACACCATGTCACAGAACCTGGAACATTCCTGTAAATATATCCAATACATTTTCAAAAAATCAGAAAACGTAATATATCTTAATGTGATCATATAAGGTAAACAGAAAAGAAAACACAGCATTAAGCAAGAAACTATAGCAAACCTACACCTGAGAGGGCCTGTTAAATAAGGAAAGGTGAAGACATTTCAACTCTCATAAAAAGCTTCTCTTGACCAGAAACTCAAAGACAGTTACCCATAACCCTCCTCATTTTCAACCAAAGTTAAATTCTCCACTCTTATATTCAAACTCTCAGTAAAAGCATTTCAATTCAACGGCGTTGTAAGCTCAGATAATTAATTCAGACAGGAAGAGAAGCAAATATATGCAGTCCACGTTATTTTAAGGTGTGAAAAGTTAAACCTGGATTTTCAGAATAGACTAAACAAAATTGAAAAAGAAATCCGACAATGATACAGTATGTAAGTCGATTGGGATTTAGGATAAAGCTTGCCATGGTGACAGTGGGATGTCACCATGGATGTAGGGAGCGGATGTGGAGAAGTTGGCAGTGTGGTGCGGCGCTCATATAGCTGCTGATGGATTTGCCCCACCATCTCAAATTTGCGATTTGACAGGCTGACCTGACAAATGCCTCAGAGAATTAGATATACCCACGCTTCCCTATTATTTCCATACTGATTCACCATGGGCTTGTGAGGTCACTAAACCCCTTAAAGCAAGATGCGGTTCAGTAGGTAAAAAGTATGAATGCAGAAATCGAGTCATGGTTGGCCGGTAGACTGAAGGTATCCATCGATCAGGGCATTTTAACATTCAGCATAACATATTTGAACACACATTGATATATTTTGAATTGGAGGATTTAAAAAAAAAAAAAAAAACTATGGGACAAAACCAGGCATTATTTGACATAAAATTGTCAGAATTCTAAGTAAAAACAAAGCTTTCTTCAATACAATTGTTCTTAACTGGTGAGATGCCTGTTTTTGTATTGCACATTTCCTCATTCCATCAGAGTAATGTCAATAGTGAAAAGGAGAAAGAATAAGAAAAAAAAAAAACTTTAAAACGCAATACTGTTCCTGAAAAAAGCATTAAAATTTAAACAAATAAAGAACACATAAAACAAAGCTAGCAGATACACAAGTAATATAAGATAAGAACTAGTCTGACACTTAACAGTTCCCTTGTAAATTGTATAGGCGCGAATGAAGAAAGCAAAGTATTATTGGAGCTTAGCAACATCCATCACAAGCGCTGCGTTGTAGTAAGTCGACACATTTCTGTAATGCCATCGTCAAAAAAAGAGTTGCAATTGAGAGTGCAATGGTGAGAGTGCTTAATTTTCATTTTCAAATGTAAAAGTTAAAAACAAAATCACCCAAATTGGAACTTTAAAATCCCATTATTGCTGTTTGTTTAATGATAACATTTATATGAAACACTCAAATCAAATTTGGTCCAGTCACAATTAAGGATCCACACAGAGCCCTGCTGTTTTTAATTATAAAGTGTTATGTAATTTGATCGTCCCCATTTTACTGCTGGCTTTTAATTTGAAGGACTGATTGATTATTATTCAGATTTTTTTGTAATGTCTATTTTTTTATTTCTGGGAGTGATATGATGATGTTAAAATGAAATAAAATGATTTTTTGTTTACATAATCTGGCATTATATGTGGATCAATAACGAGAAAGGAAGTGTCCACAGTTGCTAAAGGTGCAGCAATCAGCTTGGTTGAAAATGCATTTCGGATTTTAAAAAATGTATGTGAAAGCATGTTCACACAAGGTGAAAAATGCTCACAAGAATTGTTTTAAAAATCTACTTCCAATTTTAAAGACAGTAGGAGACACCATCAAAAAGAGACAAAAAAATCATCTTGGTAAAAGCTCAGAATATAGCAGTAGCCAATTACTACAGAACTACCAAGAGTTTCAAGTTTTAAAAGCGAGTGTCAAATGCCAATAAAATGGCATCTTAGCAAGACAGTATTAAAAACATTTTTTAAAAACATTAAAAATGATACATACAACAAAAAATAAATTATGTGCTGAAGTACACTGCATCTTTAAACCAGTGCATAAAAAAAAGCTCAAATGCATTGATTCACAACAAATGAACGACTTCATTCATCATTATTGTCCATGTGTGATCACACAGCAACCAACAAACAAGACAAAATAAACAATTTTCTGCTTAATAGAATATAACTGCAATCTAGCAGGTAATTAATGTTTTAACTGTTTAACAATAAAATACTGTCCAGCAGAAAACTAAATAAAATAAAAGTAGTGCTAAACTCAATTAAGAGCTCACACTATTCATTAGAAAAATATTTCAGCAGTCTTGAACATCAGCTGTTTTATGCTGTTGTTAATGAATATTATTTGATTGAATAAGGGGGAAGTAATCATTCTGAGCTCAGAGATCTATAAAGAAGACAATGAAAGATTGGACCATGGACTAAGATAAAGTTCGTGAATCTATTTTAATATCTTTGTCAACAGAAAATGAAACACTATTCTTAAACGATAGTAGTTTACACTGCTTATTGTGTAACTTCAGATTCAATACTGCCCAGCAATATCGTAATGTAGAAATTAACCTTGCATATTAATGTGCTTTTCTTTGGGTTAAAAAAAAAATCAAGTGCTTCCAGATATAACAATTAAATATACTTTGTTCTCAGTTCTGAAACCTCGTTTAGGTTTTGCTGAATACACTATTTATTTGTACCCATAAAATAAATACTAACTCTAAAACAAACTAGCAATTGTGTCTGTAAATCTTCTTTGGTGTGATCACATTTTGGGCTCAATGTTATGTCACTACTTCCCTGGGATAAAATGCTGAACAAAACAAAAAATTTTCCAGTCCTGATTTCTTGAATTAACAGATTTAGCACACACAGAGCAGCAATATCTAAAGTCCTGTCCTCTGAAGCTGTCTACCCTCCTAATAAAAACAGACGCACTTTGTAAACTGAACTTGGGTTTAAACCCAATAATTAAGTGGGCATGAGGTGATCTATGCATATAGCTTTCACAGACTATTTTCCTTTAACCTGTTTTATTCATTTTGGCCTGTGCATATTTAAAGAATGGGGATGTTAGGATGTTACAAGAAAGCAGAAATACATCTCTAAGGAAGATATAACAAACATGAACACAAAACCATTTCTAAAAAAAAAACGTTTTTTAAAAAATGACAATCAAAGTTATGCTTTGTTTCTTTGAGCGCACTCAATGCTAAGATAACAATTGATGTTGTTTTTTTTTATTCAAAATGTTTTTACAGGAATTTCTTGTTTCATGTGCTTAAGATTGGATTAGCACTTTTTGTTATGCACCTATGATGAAATTATCTTTTTCACTTATCAATGTTGTAACAAAAATAAGTTTGTTGCTTTCTGTACTTGTAGGCCTATGGCACTAAGCTGAAATTTGGTATTTTCGTTGCTTCACTGGCATTTGACCGATTCCTCTTAACATTCAGTGAAATATGTACGAAGGCACCCATTTGGCATAAAGTTATGGCAGGTATTTTGCTAAACATTCACCCGCATTACTCTAGTTTTACTGTAAACTCCTTTCTAAAAGGCTCTGTCTCTCTCGTTTCAAACCAAAAGTCCTTCAGTCAGTTCGTTTTTTTTACATTTTGATTACAATTGTGCATGTTTAAACCATTTCTGGGGAATTACTTTTTTCTCTCCAGGTAGTTAGACGGTACCCAGCCTTTACGTCCCTGTAAGCCATCGAGAACCTGGCAGTACCACCATCCATTTGGATTCTTCTCCAAAACTTCAAGACTAGTGCCCTCTGAGAAACCCATGGTCTCTTCGTCGCCACGGTAATCAGCAATAGATACGTAAACCTCTCGAAGGTTGTTGTGAATGAGGTGCGTCTTCTCGATGGGCTTGGGTCTCACTGTAGAGATTGGAATTCCGTTTCTCTGGGCAATCAAGGGGCTTGAACTTCCGGCGGGTGCTGTAATGGTGGTCCCAGACCTGACCCGTACATCGGTCACTGGCTGCAGTCGCACAGCAGTGAAGGAGGAGTTTCGCCTTACGCCGCCTGTGGATCTGAAGTGGTCGCCTGCACCCAGTGATTCATTTCTTCTCAAAGACCCTGTATGGATGTTGGTGTCCTTCAGAGGCTGTGGTGGAGACACAAACACTGACTGCGGTCGCACTGCTGCCTGACGGACACCGTTACGCATCCGTACGCCTGAACCGTTCAGCATTGGGTTTGGTTTGCTAAACCCCCCTGGTGGTTTGGATGGGATTGGTGGGCTAGGATTGTTCATACTCCTCAGGTTCTGCTGGTTTAGGTTGTTGAGGGCCTGAACACGCTGCTCATTTTTCTCTAGGCTGTTGGACTTGTTGGTGCTACCAAGATCAACAAGAGGGCCATCACGGGATTCTTGTACACCGACGTCATGGGTATGCTTGACTGGCTCAAAATAGAAAGTAGGTGCCCATCCCTCATCATCTCCCCAACGGACATACCACCATCCACTTTCCTGCTTCTCCAATACCTCAACCTCCACACCAGCTGGGAAGCTAACCTCTGACTCTTGGGCCCGTTCGTAGGCATCTGTCGTCCTGTAGAGCACACTTTCATGGTCAGATTCCCCACCTCGGCTACCTTTGGAATAGACACTGGAGAGATCGGAGGTACTTCTTGAGGAGATGGAATCCTCAGAGGACACAACAGAAGCAGTCTCGGAATCTTCACCACCACGTACTGCATGGACTGCACGGACTGCACCCTGCCGAAGACTTCCGGTGGGCCGAAGCTGGCGACGTAGGCTGCTGATGTCCATTCTTTCGGGACTTTGGGGCTCTGACTTTGTAAACAGAGGTTTGGGTCGCACCACTGGTTTGGGCCTGGCTAAGGGACTTTGACCAACCCGAATCTCTACATCTTTTCGCATGACAGGCTCTCTTTTGGGATTGCGTCCTGATTCGTCTGACGATGATTTGGGGCTGTGTCTCTCAGCACGGCCAAGAGAGTGACTCCGGCTTAGATCCGGCGATACCTTCTGGAGGGGCTTCCCTCCTCCAGAGGAGGACCCAAAGGGTTTACGACCCAATGTGAGACTCCTTGGGGTATCTGAATCGCAACCACTGGCAAAGTCATCAGAGGAGAACCTAAATCCTTCATTTTCATAAATCACCTCCTCCTTATTGACATTCTCCAATGAGTTTCTTTTCCTCAAGGGGGAGGTCATCACTTTTAGTAAAGGCGATGCTTTGCCAGCCTGTGCAATCCTTTCGGCAGCTGCTGGATTGCTTTTAATTTCAAACTTACGGGGCTCTGGTTTCGAGAAATTATTTGTTTTTTGTTTTGGAGGATTGCTATCCAGATCAGAGTCAAAACCAATGGCGGGAACATCATATTCTGGCTCCTCATAGACATGCTGAATGGGGGATTCTGGAGCTTTGGAGGCGGAGCCAGCTAGAGAAGGTGATTCCTCTGAGTCTGGTTTCTTGACTGGTGGAGCAGGGGGTGGAACTTTAGGGCGGGTAAGTGTGCTGGTCCGCCGGCTCAGGTTGGGCTTCTTGCGTTTATCAATAAAGGAACAGGGTGCCCAGCCCTCCATATCCCCGATGTGGACATACCACCAACCACTAGAATTCTTCTCTATGACCTGAAGACCACATATTACATATTTACATCATACAATGGTATATTTTTATTATATGAAATGGTTTCAAACATCTAAGACCACTAATGAAAATGCTTATCTTACACTAAATGTAACAAAATTGTTTGCATTTTTTAATAAAACTAACTAAAAAAAAACTTAAATAATCCTAAATATTCCTCTTCAGAAATCAATTTACAATTCAGAAAATTTGTTTTTATTAAGGTTTAAATAAATACTATAGTTAATGTAGTCTGAGACTTTTTGACTCCACTGTATATTTATACTTTTTAATATTTTCATTAGTCAAAAGATGTTCATATTTAGTTTTTAGGAAAAATCAAATAATCATTTATTATAGGAATAAATCTGCCTTACATCAGCCTTTTGTCCTCCACGGAAGCTGATGCCATCTGAGATACTGGATTGAAACTCTGCTATGGTGTAGTACTCCGCTTCCACAGTAGGGGCCTCTGGAGGTTTGGGCAACTGGAATGCCTTGAGTATTGAAGAAAAAGACAGTACTGTCCAATAACTAAATGCTGCTCTCTATGAATTTGAAATAATAATAAATGATTTTGGTCCGCTTAACTTACCAGATTTGTATCTCTTCGAGGAGGAGGTTTCTGTCTGAGGTTTGGAGATCCTGCCAGTTGAATACAAAACATGTTATTAACTGTCTCTCAGCTCAATACAGCAAATATTAATGTAGCTTAATCAAATTTAGGACTTGGACATTAGGAGAGTTCACAGTTTTCCTTTCGCCAACAAATTTTTTGCATTTTCAACCACAACAACAAAAAAAATGGATCCAAACTGGATTACAGTGCCATCAGTAACCCTCATTATGAGAGAGAAGTTTAGAGACATGTTCCAACACACTCAAGCATGCGTTCACAACAAGCCTATTTTTAGAAAAAAATCTCAGAAGGAAATATTGTAGTGAGACATAAAATGCAGTCACATCAGTCACTGCAAGTTTTAACCAAAACCAGGATTTCTGGGGATTGTGTGGCGTCTGTTAAGAACCTGTTAAGGTGGAATAATAGTGTGTGAATTGTAGCATCCGCGACAAAACAGATTTACAAGAATGAAAGTCATGTAACATGAGCAATACAGCACTAAGAGATTTTTTCAGCTGTACAGTGTACATTAGGCATTAGACAAATAAGTAAGCACAAGAACAAACAAATAGCAAACAAACAGCAGTTGACAGGCTGAATGCTAAGCAACAGAGACAGTGAATGTGTCACTATCAAGGTACACAACACCCTGAAATGTTACCTATGGCATCAAATCCTATGTGCAAAAATGGCTATATAATTATATTAATTATAAAATGATATAGAAAAATATTGATAATATATTTAGTTGAATATAAAATATATAGTTTTTTTTTGTTAGAAAATAATATAATAAAATTGTACTATAATTACTACAGCAACTCAGGTGTATTTTTTAAAGTGAATAAATACTTTGAGTTACATTCTATTCTATTTTGAACATGTGATTGCAGTATACATCTAGTTAAACATGTCATAACCCAACTGTTTACTCACCAATCTCAACTCTGTGTGGTGCCACCCGGGCTATGGCAGGTGACCCCGGCTCTGCCCTGCTCTTGTTTTCCTGTAGGGCGGTGCTAGATCCAGAGTTCATTCCCAAACCAGTGACCACTGTGGGTGCCACTCCAGCCTCTGGGGTATATGGGATAGGCAAACTGATTTCACTTTTGGAGATGTGGTGCTCATGGCTAGTGGCCTCTCCGTCAGTTTGAATGTCCTTCTCGCTTACAGCCTTCTTGTTGAGGAGGTTACTGATCTCCATTATGTTTCCGATGATCTCCACGGGGCCAGTCAGAGTCTTCTTCCTTGGGGAAAGGTCATCTTTCAGTTTTTTCAGGTATGAGGCTGGGGCCCAGCCCTCTTTACCCTGATACCTGCAACACATTAGTAGCAGTATAGTAAATAAATAATAAATACTATTCAATTGTATAACTACATGCATTTACCATTCTCATACTGACCACTAGAGGTCAGCATAATGTTTTAAGTAAGATGTTGTAGTGCTCTTTATGGACACATATCTCCCCTGATGTAAAACTGATGTCACATACACACTGATAATTGATAATTAATGTATACATACACACACACACACACACACACTACATGTAAATCATTTTGAAATGAAAAAAAAAAACTGATGAGATGAAACATCATCAGCAAACATTTCCGTACCATACCACCTTAAAGTTTGAGGTCCAGATTGATTACCTGATGTACCACCATCCCTCCAGGTTCTTCTGGATGACCTCCACAGTTGCTCCTTTCTCGAACCCGATCTCATCCTTTCCCTGACTGGTATACGGCTGGACAGTGACATATTTCTCCTCTAAAAAGACAGATTAGAGAAAAAGAATGAGAAAGGATTTATTTTCTCTTGTATTTGGGCCTTTGCCTTTTCTGCGGTCTGGAAGAGGTTGACAAATGGTTTCAACTGCTAACTTTCAAACTTACAAATTTTAGGACTTTCTTTGGGAAAACAGAGCAGAAGTAAAACCGCAAAGTTTGCAGTAAGACCCTTCCAGCACTCACCCTTCACCACAGGCACAATAACACAATCATCTCACAAAACGTCATTAATATTAACATGAACAAAACCTACAGGAGACAGTGGGACTAATGTAACCAGAGCAATACAACCCAAGACACAATAATAATGGTGGAACTCCATAGGAAATACCTCGCAGGGTCAATCAATCACAAACATGTCCAGATCCAGGCCAATATTTTGCATTTGCACTAATTATATTTTAATTATAAGTTGCATTATGAATGTTAAGCCTTTTCTCCTGTAGCACTGTGACATTATAATTACAATTTCCCTCCATGATTTCCCCCAAAATACAATTACCGTAATGCATCTGGACATTTCATTTCTTCAACTTTTTTTTTTTTGACTCAGCATATATTAACGGTATGACAACAAATACTACCATGATAAATAATAATAATTAAAAACATTTTTTTTACAATTTTAGAATAATATCACTATTATGTATTTATTTATTTATTACAGTAAAGAGAATCAGATGGTTTTGTGCAACGATAATGAGAAATTAGGAAGAAAATATGTTTAATTATCATGAAAATAATGTTACAATGCAAAACAATATGTGAACAGGACAAGTTTAATCATTCAATTTTTCATTGAAGCCTCCTGAGATCCTATAAAGCATTTCTCTTCCCAAAAAGCTCACATAAAACATCATTCAGTATTGTTGCATATGACGTAACTATGTTTAACATCTACATATCAAACTCTGATGTCTTTTCCTTTGCGACTATAGCTTACAGTCTGCTCAGAGTAATACTATAAATTTAGATTTAGTGGAACAGCAAAGAAGAAATAAAAATAGTGCTGATAAAAGATATATTAATAGTGGGAGAAGTGTTGAAACAGAAAAACGACAGAAAAAGAGATGAATATCCTATATCTAGTTTTTCTAAGCAGTGAATAACTTAGTCTGCCAACAACAGATGACATGAGGTCAGGGCAGTTAGTCACTTACTTTCAAGACTTAATGCTTTCCCAGCAGCAGACAAGCTGGGAAATCTGATAATTGAACATATGACAGAGAAGAAACTTCCCCTTTGCCATTCTCATCCTGAACTTCTGACCTAAAATCAACAATAAACTTAAGTTTTTAAACATAAGATTTTGAAGAACTGATCACAGGCATCTCCTTTTGAGTTCCACAGAAGAAAGTCATAGTGTGGATAGATAAAGACAAACAGGAGTGAGAGATGTCAGGGTAAAAATGTAAGAAATGTATAAAGAAATGCCTCAAAAACACATTTTCCACCAGTCAGCAGTATTTTCATGGAGGACTATTCTGGATGGTGGAAAAAGTCAGGTGGGTCCAGAACACATGACTTCAGTTTTGCATGCACTTGTGGAGCACGTGCCAACAAAGGCATTTTCTCCCTCAGCCTCCGTGACCTAAAAACCACGGCGATATGTTCAAAATAGTTAAGAGAGAGAGAGATTACAGACACAGATCATTCTAGCTATTATATTGATCTTTCTGAAACTTGCTTGCTTTATTTCATGCAAGCTAACCAAATGCCTTACTGGATCCCGCAGGCTCTGTCTAAATCTGAGCTGTTCCCGCTGCTGATTTCTACTCTTTCTTAACACTTCACCCAAAAATGAAAATTCTTCATTTACTCACCCTTTTATCTTTCTGAACCCTTGACAACTGTCATTTTTCCATATAACAGAAAAGGAGAAGTTTAGAAAAAAATGCTGATGTTGCTGATTGAAAGTGAATTGAGACCATGTTATTTCAAGCGCCAAAAATAACAAAAAGGACCATGCAAATTTGTGTGCTATATTCCCAGTGTACTTCAGCCATACGGAAAAGACAGAAATTTAAGTCATTATCTACTTATAAAATATTCAACATCATGACTTTGATGGTGCTTTCATGGTGTATTTTTGTTATTTCTGGAGCTTCACAGCTCCTGGCCCCCATTCACTGTATGGAAAAGAGCAATATTGCCTAACATCTCTTTCTGTGGAATATGGAAGCGCAATACCTAAAAATAAAAAATGAAATAATACTGGTTTGGAGCATTAGGGTGAGTAAACGACTCATCATTGAAATCAAGACTCAAATGTATTTTGTAAGAACTTGCTTAGTTGCAACTGAGGATCCAATGGCTCTGCAGTTTTGAAATCATTGCGTTACAAAATTTGTTGTTTTATCCAAGATCATTAGTTTCTTTCAAGCAACCTCTCTGAATCAGTCACTACCTCTGACCTGTTTTGAAGGTTGCAATTTGTGTTTATGGAGAAACGTTCCCTCTGAAACCACTGGCTGCTCTTTGTCTCCGGATCATCCATGGTGCTCTCCGACTCATAAGTATGTATACAGTAAAAAAAATAACAGGATTAAATGCAGTCACACACAGCGAGCCAATGACCTACTTCCACACTTTCCACTGTGAGTTTCCAACAACTTCTCCTATGATGCAGAACAAAGTAAGGGAAAATAACGAGGAAAAGGCAGCCACAGAGTTACTGTAACAGTGTCACATTCAATCTGAAACCAGATTTTTTTCTCCAAATCTACACGAGTCCCTATCAAAAGAGAAGAGAAAAACAATCCATGTAAAATTTGACCACGATTTCATCCAAAATACCAGTTAACAGGGTTATTAGTGGTGGTGGTTTCTGAAGGACAGACATCTGAACAGACTTATTAAACTTAACATAACTCATCCCATAAGATCAGGGATTTCATATTTTCACCCAGTCCCATTCATCCACCTGCCAACACAGCATGGAAAAGCTCTTAGCATGTGCTTCCACCAATTCCAGATCCAGCATGCTCTAGCGCCATGTTCATGGTGTCCATAGCATGTTAGCACACTCCAAGAGTACACAGATGGAAAACTGCGGGAATTACAACTCTAAAGCTTGGAGGTCCATTCCATGACTCAACATGAAACGGCGGATCTCCAAGGAGACTCCTCACCATACAAACACACATTTCCACCAAAGGTCTAGACATTAATCCTCATTTGAGGTCTGGGTGTTTAGAATCAAACACTGTGATTTTGAAAGGTCAAACCTCATGCATGATTCAACTCATCCTCTACCTCGAGTTTAGAGTTTATGCACTGTTTATATCAATTATTTGACATGTAGCCAAACTGCAGGATGCCAGATCTGACTAAATTCAGCTGAATTCAGCATTCCGAATTCAACATTATTCTATCTTTGGCAGAACACCAACAAAGATTTTAAATAATATTTCTGTCTATTCAATGGAAGTCAATGGGGGTCCAAACAACATGGGTCCTCACTGACTTCTGTTGTATTGACAAAAACATTCTTCAAGATTTTGCTGGTGCTCTGAATGCCATTCGGGTTTAGAATGGCATGAGGGAGACATCCTGACCGAATTTTGATTTTTGGGTGAATTATCTCTTTAAATTGTCTTAACTGGCAAAAGTTACTTAGTCAGTAGGCTTTAGAATAAAAGTATAAAGATCAAGCTGGCTGACATTCATTTCTGGTCCACCAGCTAAACCAGCACCAAATCAGTACTAACTAGCATAAACCAGACTTAAGAACAAGATTCTGTAACTCTGTACTCTAATGCCATACATGAAATTTCTAATTATCAGACTACAATATTTCACAATTACTATATTCTTCTAAACCAGTCATCTTAAAAAGAACTAATTGGCTTCATTTTAAAACAGTTTTCTTCATCTAAAAACACACTTAATGATCTCTGTGGCGAGGGGGGCGGGGGAAGGCGAAAGGCTGCAGCGGGAGAGCGAGTTTGGAGACGAGCGGTGATAAGGAGGTCAAGTGAATAATGATTAACACCTGTTTGCAATTCCAGTGATTGGCGGGGAGACGAGAGATAAGCGGCCGCCGACCTGGGAGTGGGAGAGAGACAGGAGAGTGTGCGACACCTGACTGGGAAACCCAAGAAGCGCACTCGTTGTTATATGTTGTTTGTGACGACCAATAAAAGGTCTACTCGCCACCCCTGACTTCCTCGTCCTTCTTCCCGAACGGAAAACCTTGCTACAATCTCCTTTTACATTCATGCACATATAATCACAAGCAGAGACATAAAGCAAAGTATAATAAAGATTTTATGATGGCTTGCATATGAAGCAGGCCACCCAGCATGCTTTGGGAGCCAGATCCTGAAGTTGGATCCAGAAAGAGAGTTTAGGTTTCTAAAGAGTGTGTTTGTGTGCGTTTTGAAGCTAATCACTGTGTAAACCTGCACAAACACACAAACGCACCATGCAGATTGGTCACACACGCGAGTGCTTGCATGTGATCAGTCTATGCAGGCATGCGTGATTGCATGTGTGTTCACCTCGACTCTGTTGGCGGTTGACTATTCCCCCTAGCGTCCATCTCCGGTCAAGCCTCTTCAGATGAGCCTTACGTCTCTTAGTAACTGACACGGATGAATGAAGACAACGGAAAGAGAACAGAGACATGACAAACTCAACAACTCAAGAGGAACACTGGTATTAGTGTAATGAAGACATTATTACATGAAAGAAAAGAGTTTTGTGATTGGTTAGGAGGGTTCTTGGCTTGAACAATGATGGCAAAGCAAACGAGGACTTGTTTGATTAATACATGTGTTACTAGATTTTAGTGGCGCACGTTAAACTGTGTGATGGTAAAGTCTAAAAAATGTATGGTGTTTTAAATTTTTATTGTGTTACAGAATGGAAACTTCATATATTTTACAAAGGTTTTACCACTTATCAACTCCATAGATTAAAATAACAACAAAAAAAACAAACAAAAAAATAAATAAATAAAATGTCGAACTAAAGATGGTCTAGTTCAAATAAAGTTCAGCCTGAAAAAAAAAACTGCAGCTACATCCAGAAATTAAGCCGTTGTGGCCACACGGGAAGGTAAATTACCCCTTGGGGATCAATAAATTGTGTGCATGTGTGAGGATGTATCGATCTATCTCAGACAAAGATAGTGGCGAAAGCTTTATCTCCTAATCTTACACATTGAGTCTTTCAGTGGCATACATTTCAAGACGCAGCTAAAAATGTTGTTGGCTGAGACAAGAAACTCAACCCAGGAAATGCTGATGGCAGCAGATGATAGAAGACATTAGAGGAGGACATATTTATAATGCGACGGTTCTTTATGTGCGTTTAATAATGTGAAATAAATGGGTGTTTCAAGTCAAGTCAAGTCAAGTCAAGTCTGCTTTATTGTCAATTCTTCCACATGTACAGCACATACACACAGAGAATTGAAATTGCGTTACTCTCAGACCCTTGGTGCATACAGATGAGAGAGAGAAGCCGCAGCGTGTGAACGCGCCGCCATCTTGAAACACCTTTCTTCAACTTCTGACAATTTATGTTCCAAGAGTTGATTTTACTGAAGTTGACATGAATGTAAATGCACCATATCTATTTTGCAAATACATGTTATGGATATTTTGGTGAATGATTCAACCATGTAAATGTTTCGTTTCATTTCATTGATTCATTCATTCAATGATTTGAAAAATTTGAGTGCAAATTATACAAACAGAGAGAAAATAGTATTTAATTTTGTGTGTTTATGATATATAAAATGCTAGCTATGAAGCAGGCCATTTTATTACTAAATGTTTACGACCACTGTCATTTTAACCATATAATGCTAAGAAATACAATACTAAAACTTGGTGGGAATTTTCATTAAATAAATAAATACTTTTAGAAAAAACTAACAAATTAATTAATTAAAAGACTCATACAAATAAATAAATACTGTCAGAAAAAAGCAAACAACTAAATTAGTTAATACAAAATGCTAATAAATGAATAGATTTCTATCTAAAGTTCACAGGGCCAAAAGTTCCCTAGTTGAAGAAGCACCCAGATTCAATGCGGTGTTCAGGTATGCCACACTATTATTTATTATGTATAGATTCAAAGAAATAATAACCACACTTTCATTAAGGAGAAGAGAGCCTTCCTTCTTTCCGTCATTTCTCCTGCAATCGATGATCTCTCACAATCCCAAAGCCCTCACCTCTTTCTCATAAACAAGTGGAAGTTGCTCAAGGAATATTTGGGATATAATATCCATTATGGGTATTTCGGGTCCTGGGTGTTGATTGTTCAGTGAATGTGAAACAGATCACCTTATACTTGTGTTCAACTGGTCAAGATTTCTTGGGGTATAAGAGTGTTTGTGCACATGTTCAAAAGGAAAGTATGAGAGAGAGTATATTTAGTGTCCTACCTTCTCCAGATCTAGATGTTCCCAGGTCCAGATCATCTCTGGTGCCGCTCTGAGAGTCCAGGTATGTGGCAGGAACCCAGCCTTGTTCTTCAGCTGTGCTGACAAACCACCAGCCTACAGACACAACAGAACAAAAAAAACATAAAATATTATTTTTTACCTAATACAGTGTCAAATACTGAGCTCTAATGATCCTGTTTTAACCACCCGGATAGAAAGACTATATTTACAAAAATAAAATTATGCCTCCATGCTTTGCAAACAAACACTAATGCACAAACATTTGGTTTTCACTAATCTGATGGGAGGCAATGTTTTGGCTCCAGTCATGCTCACAAACACACTCTCTCTGGTGTTATTTAGTTTCAGGCGATGTATTTATGAATTCTGTGCACTTCCTGTGTACCATTTGCGATCAATTAGACCTGACACTATCATAAATATCAAAACGGGTGGACATGGTTTTATTTGTATGCACAGTCCAGCTTGAGGAAGGTTGGATGTGTCTGACATCTTCTTAGCAGCTAACATGATATGTTTTATGAGCTAATATGTGTGTGCTTGTGTGTTTTGGGCCAAAATAACCTCATCAGTTAAAGGGGTCATATGATGCTGCTAAAAAGAACATTATTTTGTGTATTTGGTGTAATCTTTCGGTTCCTCCTTCATGTGTCTGAATAAGTGCTGAATTTGTTAAATGTAGTGTCAGCAGCACTATGATTTGTTTTTGAAATGTGGATTATGATGTTTCTTCACATTTCCACTATAACTCAAAGATGAGTTTTAGAAACAAAGCAGCAAAAAAGATTGACAAAGAAAATGAGTGATATACCAAGAGAGGCCCATACAACGTTCACAAGTAGTTAATTTGGGTAAATCATTTGGGTTTTGGAATTAAAATCATATATTTGGCACACTCACATAAAAATGTAAAGCCGACATAAGTGAACGCCAATGGATGAAAATTCAAAATGGTTCTCCAGCTGAAACACAGATCCTTCTGAGCCTGTTGCCAAGGTAACAGAGTATTGCTGGCAAGCTGTTCATAACAGTGTGATGTCATCAGTCAGCAATAATCCAACTCTGACATCATAATAATACAGAAGCAGGTCTTTTGATAGAGCGCTAAGTGATTAACACCAAATGTTCTAAACACCAACGTGGGCCAATAATGATGTCAGAATACTATACACTCCAGAATACATTTATTCACTCACATCATACACCTCAAACGTGTGTAAAAACCATGTTTATGTGGTCTCAAGACCACAAGATAAATACTTCAACTTTGGTATTGCCATAATATTAAAAACAAAACTACATCCAAATTTATCCAGAAAATTGGCCTCAAATCTCAATTGAAAGTTTTTATTTATTAATTAAATAATTAATATATTTAATATATTTAATATTTAATAAAAAAAGAATACTTTTATTCAACAACAATGCATTAAACTAAACTAAAGTTAAAGACATTTACAATGTTAAAAAAAATTTCCAGTTAAAATAAACATTCTATTCAACAAAGAATCTTGAAAAAGATGTTTTACGGTTTCCACAAAATATTACACAAAAGTGATTCCTGATATATTAGAATGACTTCTGAAGGATCATGTGACACTGAAGACTGGAGTAATGATGCTGAAAATTCAGCTTTGCATCACAGGAATAAATAACATTTGAAAATATATTTAAATAAAAAACGGTTACTGTAAACTGTGTTAATATTTCACAATATTTCTGTTTTTACTGTATTGTTGATCAAACAAATGCAGCCTTCGTGAGCATAAGAGACTTCTTTCAAAAACATGAATGTACATTTTAAACTCCAAAGAAACACTGATTCTCATTTTAAAAAGCTGAATGGTGATGCCAGTAGTTGGAAGAGAGATGGAAATCAAACACAGAGATCAGAAAACTAGTGCTACATCTACTTCAGTGTGCCAACAGATCAGAACAGTGCTTACATACAGAAATCATAAGATACATTTAAGCCAAATAGACCACACTGACATCTATACCACCCTGACACAGCAAATCTCTCTCACAAATGCACGCACACACACGAGTAGTATGAATTTGCTACTGAATTTGTGAGAGAGCTGAGAGCAGGTTGTGGCCACCCTGCCTGACTGACCCTCTTTGAATGAGATACTGTCTGTTTGTGCACACCAGGAACCGTCTATGGCAAGCACAGAGGGTCAATTCAGACAAAATGCAAAATGGCAAGGGTTGCACACAGTTTAGCCATCACAAAGATGCTTTCATTGGATTCAAGGCTTGATAAGCCTAACGGTTAGATAAGATTTGGTTTTGATGTTAAAATTCTTTCTCCTATTCCAGTTTAATATGCAGATGTATTGGCACTATCAAAACCATTCTTGTTTTTTAGCAATTCAACATGTCAGCTACTGGCTCAGCCAATGGTAAGAGAGGATGTTGTGTACATTCACCTTTGTATTGAATAGAGCAGTGTGAGCATTATTCAAAACATGTCCTTTTGTGTTCAATGGAAGAAAGAATAACATATGGGTTTGCACTGACAAAAGGGTTCAGTGTAACTAAAAATGGATTATTTCACCTGATATTTGTGTGTATATACACTATTATCAAAACAATGCATTCAACAATGCATTCAACATTTCAACTACTGGCTGAACCAATGGTATGAGTTTTGGATCACCTCTTCGGTTGAAGAATTGAAGGCCAGTTTAAAAACAATCATAATTTATGCAATTCCCTTTGCCGTCACTAGGAGCACAGAAACAGCAGACATCAGCAATCGCAAATGAATGAAAGAAGAAATAAAAGAATGAAAGGAAGAACAAACAAACTAATGCGAGGAAAAAAAAGAACTGATGAAAGAACAAACAAAAAAGCATGAAAGAACAAACGCAATACATAAGAATGAATGAGCAGACAAAAAAGAAAAACAGACAAAAAAAATGAATGCACTAAAGGTATAAAAAAGAAAAAAGGACATATGAATGTACTTGACAACTGACAAAAAGACTAAATGGAAAGAAAGAAAGAAAACGCATGATGTCACTAGGTTAATTTTACATATTTCCTCTCCTTCTGACTGTTTTTATTTTCTTATGAGGTTCATGAAATGCCTTGCCACAGCTGTTCAGTCAACTCAGCTCGCTTTTACTCACTTTTCACACACTCAGCTGTTTTTGATTGTTTTGTTTAGCTTTAAGTTTGACAGTCTTTCAACAAAGACATCAGCATCTACTGTAATACACTAAAGGCCTGAAAATGAAAGCTTGATTATTATGTCATAATGTCCACAGGCAGGGCCTTAACCACCAACAATCCCAACATTAATGGGTTTCAGACATCCGCCCCCCCCACCACCACCATGCCCGCCCCAGTCGAAAATATTTGGGGTTTTTTATTTGAGCGCATGTGTGATATAATTTTGATGTTCAGCTCTGATCATCCAAAAATACAGCTGAATTAAACTAAAATGAATGAGAGGAAAGTAAAGGCAAGAACCGAGAGCGGCTGAACAAAAAAAGACAAAGACAAAAGAGAGAGTGAACAGATGTTTGGCCTGAACTTCAAAGCTGAAATTTTCACCACACATTCCCTCCATTCGCACCAGCTAGAAGAAAAAAAAAAGACAAGCAAAAATACATGTGCCTTTCACTTTCTTATTTTGGAGCTGAAGTAGCAAACAAAAATTCAAACATAAAACAGAAACAATGTATGAAAACATTCCAATATATCATAGAACACATGAAAGTTGTTGTATATAGATGAGTTACAGAGAGAGAGAGAGAGAGAGCAGAATCATTCTTGACAGAAGAACTTCACTTTGAACTATGGCAGCCAAACTCTGCCTCTTAAAAAATATTCTGCAATTATTTACTTCACAAAATTATTAACTTTACAAAGACTTTATAAAATTGTTATAAAGTTATTTTAAGTTGTTATTCCCTAAAAATTCATCCACAATTTATTAAATTAAGAAATTAATATGCTGTCCTTTTGAACCTTCTAAATACACTTTCTGAATTCTGCTTTGTCACAGGAATAAATTACATTTTAAAATTATACTCTAAGCTTTTGAATGGTAAAGTGTCAGAATCAGTCACTTCCATTATGGTTAGGAACAGCAGTATGTTTTAGAGCATTAATAATAAAATGCTTTTATTTTAACATACGCATTCAGAATGCCAAAAAGAATCGCTGTCCAACTCATTTTTACCACAATATTATCTATCAATATAAAGTCATATATAAAGAGTCATATGTCTGATTACTAATTTAACAGAGCTCAGGTTGAAATCACTGGAAGGATATTTCAGCTGACGTTCTCTAAAATCCAGGCCAGTAGAGAGTCTGGCCTACATTCAGTCACACTCAAGTTCTTTCCTGAAAAGCTGGAGTATCAGGTTTTGGGCTTAGGACCAAAATGGGTTTTGTGTTATCTGACAAAGCCGAGGCGGCGGAGGGGGCTCCCTTTGGTCTGAACTTCAAAGGCTGACGATGTCGGCCGCTCATGCACACTGATCTGAGATCACTGTTGTGGTTTTTATTTCAAGAGCTCTAGTGGTTGAGATTTGTTCAGGAACAGCTGGTCTTAGATCAGCATAAACATGCTATTTCGTTCCTAGACTTTCTTTCTGGACCGGTCCACACAACAGAGAGTGATGTTTTGAGGAAACTGGCAAGTACTGTTCAGAAAAGTAATCAGTGAGAGAATGATGGAGATCTTGAGGAACAAACAATATTAACCAAAATCAAAAAACACACATGCTTAAGCAAAAATATATAACTGAAAGGGAAGAAAAACATTTGAGTATGAGTGTATACAGGTTTGGAAAGTCATGAGGATGAGAAAATGATGACATTTTCACTTTTGTTTATTTAAACATGAAAAATATAATTAATTGTAACTATCCGATTTTGAAAGGGAAAGGTTCTATCATCATTTACTCACTGTCATGTAATTCCAAACCTATATGACTTTCTTTCTTCTGTGGAACAAAAAAGAATATATTTTGAAAAATGTCTTTTTTTTTATTTAATTTAATTTTTGTCCATTAATCCCCCCTGACTTTCATTACATGGACAAAAACTTCTTTAAAATATCTTCTTTTGTGTTATGCAGAAGAAATAAGCGAATAAAAAAGAGGAAAAAGAATACATGTTAAAGGGTGAGTAAATGACCAGTTTTATTTCTGGGTGAACTACTGTATGCTTTTAAAGTTGATAGGCTGGATACTGATTGATTTTCCTTGCCAAACTCTCACAGAAAGAAATAAATGTATTGATTAGTTAATTTTCAAAATGTTTAAAGCCACGACAGCTGTTTCAGCTTTGTGGTCTTCTTACTATCAAGAATATTATCTCAATGACCTTAATCGATTAAACAATAGAGACCCCTGAGAGGTGTAGCACCAGGTTTATAAAGATCCTTTCAGACGGCCTCAGAGCTACATGCAAATGAAAGTTTGAACCCTTTGGTCCAGGTTCAGCGTGGCTCTCCACGGACCGGATCTCCAATGGGAGCGAGGCCAAGACAAACTAGTCTACCCGAGACCATGAGCAGCTCTCTACTGATTCTGTTTCAGTAAGCGGGGGATACCGGCTGAATGAATGGACCCAGGGGAGAGAGAGGCGAGAGGATGGGAGGGAACCTCACAATATTGATGGCACAGAGCAATTTTCATAGTAGAGCATTGTTCAGGAAGCACAGCAGCCTAGGGGGAAAAAAACAAAAGAGCTAAAAGATTTAAACACGCTCAGATAAGAATTTACACTACCGTTCAAATGTTTGGGGTTGTTAAGGTGAAAGGTTATGCACACCAAGGCAACATTCATTTGATCAGAAGTACAGTAAATACTATTACATAGTACAATAACTCTTTTCTATTTGAATATATTTTAAAATATAATTTATTCCAATTTGATGGCAAAGCTGAATTTTCAGCATCCATTACTCCAGTCACGTGATCCCTCAGAAATCACTCTAATATGATTTGGTGCTCAAGAAACATTTATTATTATCAGTTTTGAAAACAGTTGTGTCGGTTAATATTTTTGAGGATTTTTTTTAACTGGTTATTTGATGAATAGAAGATTCTCAAAAACAGAACATTGTAAATGATTTTACTGTCTTTTTTGATCAATTAAATGCATCCTTGGTAAATAGAAGTAATATATATATATATATATATATATAAGAACCATTGGAACTATCAAAACTACCATCAAAACTAGCACATAGCAACTCCAAAAAATATCAGGACATTTATGCAATTCACAGAGAATTTTTAAGATGACTATATTCACAGTACCTTCAAAAAAGAACCATAAAAGTACTGTGAAAATGGCTACATTCCATTCCATTATATAAAACCATGCAATAGCTTTGTGTGAAAACAATAACAAAATGTAAGCAGCTATTTGCTGACAACATATTCAAACTTGCCATGTCAAAAATGTGGCGTGCCAGGTATAATAACATCAGTGGTAGTAAACGCCACTGACATACAGTATAACCTATTCCACAAATAACCATCAAATTTATTTGAAGGTTTTGTTAAAAAATTTCCTTGTTCCGTTGAAGAATAGCATAAAATTATTACAAAAACAGCACACTGACCTATAAACTCTTGATTTCTTTGACCGTTATCTATATTACAGACATTCAACAAAAACTTTTGAATGCATTCTGCTGGTATTGCTTTGGGATGCGTGACTCTGTAAGTGCTCTGTAAGACTCTGAGGCCCTGCAGGATCCATTAGCCTATTATGAAATTAAGGACAAGGGGGATTTTTCCATCGTTCTCTCTCCATGACCTAGAGGGAAGCCAGAGCAGCCCGCCTTCTGCCAATCGCTTCTTATAACCGCAATTTCAGCCACATTAAAAAGTTGGTTTTGAATGATATCCAGTGGTAATAAATATGCTGCCTCTGACAGATCCACTAGGGCAGGGGTTTTCAACCTGTGGGGCCCAGTGTCTGTCAAGGGGGGCGCGAGCATCAGTTAATTCAGAGACGTTCCCTTGAGAATTTATGAATACGAGTTAACAAATCTTTAGCCATCCACTAGGGGGCAATCTGACTCCCACTGCTAGTCGACAGTTAGAGCAGAGTTTGCTCGAGTATCAGTCACGCTTATTGACAGTGTAAGATGATTTACG